CATGATATGTGTCTATGCTGCTTGACCAGATTCTCGAATGCATTGGTCATGGTAAAGGTAGTTGTTTTAAATTTTGAATGCTTTATTTAAGCCCGTTGAGAGGGGTTGATGGTGGCCTATATATATTGAGAGAGGACATGATTCCTGGTGGTCATTTCTAGATAATGTTGGTTACATGATTGTGAGTTTTAGTTTAATTGGTGCATCTTGTGAATGTGAGTGGTCGTGGCTTGTTTTGTTTGGTTCGTGAATCCAAGGTAAGTTTTGTTCTTGGAGGTTAACAATAAAGACTCTGAGATTTTTTATGGTGGTCAAGGTTTTGACACCAAAAGAAAATAGATATAATTGATTCTCTTTACTCACAATAATCGATGATGTCATAATAATAATAATAATAGAATTGTTTTTGCCATAATTCAGAGAGAATCGATTCTACTTTGTTTTCACGAATGATGCATGCTTTGTGTTGACATGGTTGTTGTTTTGTTATTTGTGTTGGAGTTGTTTTTTACAGTGTGGTGTGTTTTTGGCAAGTTTCGGTTGTTCTTCTTGCGAGTTCTAATGTTGTTATTGTCTTGGTAATGTGTAATCGTTAGAGTATGGTGATGTGATTTTCCTCGAGTTTAAGAATTGAAATTCTAATTTTTAAGTAAATTCTCATCTAAAATTGAAAACTTAGAGTCATGTGATTGAAATTATAACTTTAATCAAAGTAAATTTTCATTTAACATGTTTTTGTATCTCATGCTCAATATTCCAATTATAACAAATCTTAATTAAAATATTTATTTAAAGTAGATAAGCCAATTAAGAATTTAACATTAAATGCTAAATTGGGTATAAATATGCATTTATCACACCCTCACACTTATCTTTTTGCACTCTTAAGCAAAACTTAGTAACTTCAAAACTTTATTCTTGATCAATATTCATATCAACATTAAATCGAATAAAAAGATCTTCATTGGAAACAAATAAACTTTCTAAGTCAAGTTTTCATGAATCATGCAATTGAAAAAACTCTATTTTAAACATATGAATTAATATTTTGAATTTATCAGAAAATCAATAATAAAAGAGATCACCCAAGTTAAAATGAATATTCTCTCATTAATGCTCTCTAAAGCGTTTAAATTGTGTTTTCACTCAAAATATTATTATAAATAAACACTCTTAACTCAACAAAATTTTAATATTCATATACTTTTAAAAAAACATACACTCAAAAATCATAAAGACTTTTCAAAAATTATAATGTGATCAAGGTAAAAATAGAAAAAAATTTAAGATATAAAAAACTTAAAATATTTTAAAGAAAAAAAATTAAAAATCTAAAATTAAAGACTAAACGAGTATATCTATATATATATATATATATAATTAATTTATTATTATATGAAATACTCTGCATTCTTTACACTCACATAAGTTAGAGTGCACCAGATTTAATATATAGATTAATAATAAGTAGCAGTATTGATAAAATGACTAAAAAATTAATCCTAAACTTTTATACCATTTATTTCTTAATTAATTATCTAAATGTAGCTTAATTTCTTTTTTTCATTTTGAAAATGAAGTAGTCAATCTAACAACCCATCTTTGGAGGAATGAAAATTGAAGATCGACAAACCTAAACCAAAACCCAAAAAATAAAATGCAACTTTTCTTTCTTATTTAACCACAACCTCGACCAATTAATCATGATGAACCAATGACAAAACCTCTGTAATGAACTCCTATTTCTCCCCTCTCGTTATCTCCATTGTTGGCATAGTTTGTTCTACTGTGGCAATAGTGTACCACTGTATAATCCTCTTGAGGCATGTCGTTAGAACTCACGATGCACAAAGCAGAATCCTCTGGCATGTGGTCAGAACTCATAATGCACAACGCAGGGACAACAGAACTTGTGTAAAGAGTGAAGGGATCCAACAAGAAATCCTTAACAAAATCCCATTTTTCCCAATCTCTATGACACAGACAAGTAGTAGTGCCATTGCCATTCATTTGGACCAAAATATTGAATGTTCCATTTGCCTTGGACAATGGGAAGATGAGGATGTGGTGCGGTTGTTGCCTTCTTGTAATCATGTTTTTCACAAATCCTGCATTGATACATGGTTCATGGACCATGCCAATTGCCCAGTCTGTCGGTCACCAATCACTTTTGACTGTGAGTTAGCCTTGCCAATGGCTTCACAAAATGGTGATGCCTAAAATTTCTCACCACATATGTGCATATTAATTTCTGTATAGGTTTGCATGCATTTTATATTCACTAAGCTTTTTTATTTCTGCCCTTGTTCTCCCCAATTTTCTTACCTAGGATTTTTAGGGTTCTTCACATGTTTTTGGATTTTCTCACTTTATTTATTTGCGTTTTTGATGGTTAAAGCTTTTAGAGTCGGAGTGATTTGGATCCAAAATCAAGACAATTGAGACTTTGTCAAAACTAGAATCAAGAAATAGAGTAACTATATAGACAACTTCATTGGAAGAAAAATGAAAAATAAAAAATGGCTTCGAAAAAAACAAAAGAACAAGACTAATGGAAATAAGGGCACGCTTTATTTTACATTGAATCCTTAAAATCACGTTGAAATATCGATTGGCATGTTTAATAAATATTTACACATGTTTGGTTTCGTGTTGAAGAATTTATTTTAGGTTCAAAATTGATTTCAAGTTAAAATAAATTCAGATAATGTTTTTGTTGTATCAGAAAAATTATATCAGGCTATGCTATTAATTGACTTCTATAACAAAAGCGTTTCAACATAAATCACATAGTGTTAAAATTAATGTAAATCAAAATCTTATTTTTAAAAAAGTTCATTGCTATAAATATTGATTTTTTTATACCATAACAAAACACTAATTAATAATTCATAAAAAATTAATTAGCAAAAAAATATCACATTAAATGCATCAAAAAGCTAAATTTCAAAGTATTAATTAATTTTGAACGCATATGATTTTTATCGGTTTTTATACCCTAAATTAAAATAGTAATGTATTACCAGTTTTTAGTCATCGCATCACTCTCTATACTTAGTAAATTATAAACATGGTATAAAAGAACTTTTCTAAGTGACACATGAATGATTTTTTGGTAGTTATTGTAATTATGTAAGCTTTCTTTTATTTTATTTTAGCTTAACGATTCGAAAATTGGGAAGAAATATAGATAGGTTGTTCAATACAAAAATTAAGAGACAAATTGTATTTACAAGTCAAACAATATGAGAAATAAAATAATTGCATCACATTCTTTAATTCTTAGGATAGTCAAATATATGTGATTATTTTCCTAATTATTTAAAAATGATTTAAAATAGTAAATAGGTGAATAGGCTTTAGTTCTCCATATAACCGAAGCTTATCCAACTATATGTTTCGGTCTCAAAATAACTTAATTCTAATCCCCTGTATGATTTGGTTCTAGTAACAGTTGAAGTTTATTTTTCACTATGTGCTATAACATATAATTGATTTTTTTTAATATTTTTTGTTTTGTTTTGGTTTCTGCTTATAAAACCAACCTAGACAAAATAAAACAATTAGATACAGTTAGACAAAAGCCATATACAACAATATATATAGATAACAAATTTGAATCAAAGTACTTTTAATAATGTATAAAGTATGTAAACATGATGATTATTACAGACTAGATGAAACTACTAAACATTTTTACTATATAGTTGGCACAATATTGGATAACTCAATCCGACAATAATCTCAAAGAAACAAAATTTAAGCATATAAAAACAAATTTTAAAAAAATAAATCAATTTATTAAACATGCAAAAATTACATTAAACAACATATATTAAAAAATTTTAATAATTAAACATATCTACCACATGAAAGGAACTAGGGAGTAGGAGAGAGAGAATGAAAACAACAACTAGTGTAAGAGCAAGAATAAGAGAGAACAAGATCCACCGCTAAAATGCAGACCAACAACTAAGACAAAAAGCAATGTTGCGGTGTCCCAAATGTCACACACCAAAACTAACAAAATGTTGTGAAAAGATGACCAAGACCTGCAATGTTGTGAACCCCAATGCGAAAAGATGCCAATGGCTACCAAAATGTAGTATAACAACACCAAAGTAAGAAGAAAAACAATATTAATGGAAGAAAATTGAGAAATGAAGATAAACAAGAATGAATAAATGAGAAACGAGAAACAAAAAAAAAACCTCCAATGAAGGCTATAATTTAGGAAAACACGAGTTTAGAAGCGGTTGATAAGAAGAATGTAGTGACGTTATGCAACAAGAGCTCTCGCGGGTTGTAAAAATTCATAAATTTATGCTATGCATACGAGTATAGGCTTTGGTTATAGATAAAATCGAAACTTATACTTTAATTACATAAGTGAAGACTTTGTCCCTTTCAAATAATCGAAGTCTATACTCATACATTGAAGGTAGAAACTTATGTTTAACCTAGAACTAAACGTATATTTTGATACTTGAAGTAAAATCTTTCATATAATAACCGAAGTATATATCTTATTTCATGAATATAGGTTTCGATTATTTGAAAAACTAAAGTTTATACTTATACAATCAAGTAATATTTGATTATTTTAAAACTAAAATTTATAGGTGTACAAATATTTCAAAAAATATGATTTTTTTTGAAGGTTTAGGTTTTTTTTTTTTAATCTGAACCTTATTAGATGAAATTAAATATGGATTCGAACAACTCCCACATAATCCATATTTTGAAAATGATAACGTTATCACCTAAATTTAATTATTCATTCGTTGTGTAGATTTATCAATTAAGGATAAAGGTAGGTAGATAGATGTTTGAGGTTTTTTTGTCTTTAAGTGAGGCTCCAAATTTCCAGCGCTCCTACCTAACTACTTCGTCTCTTTGTCCCAGAAAAGAAAAATTGCATCGTGGCATCGGTTTTAATAATCACAGAAAAAGGCACTACGCAGTGATAAAGTATAAACTAAACTTTTTTGTGTGGCCAGGTATAAGCAGAACTAATCATTCACATTTTTGGAGGGTTAAAAGAATGAGTGAAAGAAGGAAAGAAATTAACGAAGGAATATAGAGAAAAGCAGAGGGCGTATTTTTAGGAGGTTATGTAGGGCAAAAGGAGAGAAAGTGAGGCCAACTCATTGAGCTCTCCAAAATTGGAAATGATAAATAGAAAGTTAATTTGTCCCCATTACTTTACATGCACACAAATTAATAAGTAAAATAAAATACAAAATATACACACTAAAAAATAAAAAGCTATGGTTATCTTTATGTAAACGACCCATGTGGATGGTGGGTCATTGAAAACTATAAAACGGACTTCCCAAAGACATGCCCTTTTATTCCTTAATTACGCATACACCCACAACAATTAAACATTAAACAAATTGCATTATTGAATCTTCATAAGGGGTTTTTTCTTGGACCCGAAAAGAGGGAACTTTCCTATATACCCTTTCTTTTTTTCCCTTATCACGGACCTTGGGCAAACCCCCCTCCAAAGCCTCCCATTTCTTTATTGAAAAAATTTACAATCACGAGGTTTCTCACCAAAGAGTGCTGTATTATATATTACAAGTAAAAATATATATATAAATTTATGTGGTGAGGAGACGAAGTTGAAGTTGAATATTGGAGAATATGAATAAGCATCCTTAGGAGGCAAAGGGTGCCCTATGAGGAATTCCTTTTCTTCTCCTTGCGTTTGAAGGAGGTGTGACTTGATACATGTCTTGTGTTGAACCTTCACGCAATCCTTCTTCTTGCTTATTTGATGAGACTGATCCTCTTGAAGTTGATGTAGTGGTAGTGGTGGTAGTCTCCATTGTCAATTCTTCATTTCTACCATCCAAAGCAAAGCTTGCATCCCCATTTTTCTTTATTCCTTCAAGCTAGTTCAATCCCACAATTAAAGTATATATGTATTAGTATTAGTAGTACCATTCAATTAAATTAAATGGTCACATTAATGATATCTCACGCCATGTTCCCAACCATATACGCACAATTTAAATAATCGCAAAACTCGTGCTTTGTTTAACTATAATTATGATTATGACTATTAAAAATGAATTAAAATACTTTTATTCTCGGACATCATGAATATTCAAAAGTAACTCTGATGGTGAATGATGGCGATGGGGTTTCAAATGTAGGTGATGATGTATGGGTGGTGGGTGTTATACCCATATGATGAGGATGATTGAGTTGTGAATGATGTGCATGTTGATAATGAAATGAATAATACGGCAAAGATTAATAATTGTAGTAATAATATTTCACCTTACATCCCAAAGAACAGAAGCGAAATGGGTCCAAGAGGCTTCTTCCACAAATCTCACAAATGTGAGCTACTCCTTTCCCAGATTTTGGTTGTGGCCTCACATTCAAGAACAAAACTCGAGCACTGTTTATCACATATGTCTGCACTCCACTTATGTCCAACACCCTCTCAATTTCAGCCACCCTCACTACATCATGATACGAAGATCTTCTTATCTATATCCATCAATAAACAACAGCCTCACAAATTTTCAAAAACATTATTGCATATAATTTAACTCACAAAATACATATACAAATAACATATATACATATACGAACAAGTCTGTACTGCTCCACCCACCTGAATGACTCGATGATCTTTGTGTCGAGAAGAACGGCAATAAAAACAGAAGGCTTCGCCATTGCAATCTAAACAAAACATGTTACATTCACTCCTGGCTGCGTCTGCGTGAATTCGACAAACATTGAAGAAAGGTGTGTGAAGAAGTTGTTCCAGCCAAGGAGGTACCAGAACTGTGTCCTGTTCAAATCCCATTGTCGGAAAAAATGGACATTTTGTAAACCTCGTCAATTTAAAGACATAAACAGAACCTATGACTATGAAATAAATATATATGCATACAGATAAATATACCATTGTCGGTAGATATGGATAATATTAATAATGTGGATCGATGGGTGAGTACAGAATGTTGGAAAGGTGAAGGGGTTCGGTTTTCATTCACTTGTTCAAAAGGAAAAACTCAGATGCTGAAGATGAAAATGGCGAGGGAGAGAAAGAGCGATGAGAATGATAAACGGCCTTCGACTTAGAATTCAACTACACAACAACGCTAAAGATTGTATAAAGACAAAGGGTGATTAAATAATTAGGAGAATATACCGATGAGATTGAAAGATAGGAGCCGGAGAAGATCACGGCCGTTGGATGTTTGGGGATGTGTTTGGCGCTTACGCTACTTTGGATCTTCTTTGCGTCTAAGGTTGCACGATACAATATATACCTACCCTGGATGTATTGTAGTACTCGTTCATCATCCTACATGCCATACTTATCCACGTGTCGTTATGTGTATGGTCCATCACAGATTGGTGGCTCCCATTTTCAAGGAATCTTCTGTCTGCTCTTTCTAAAATATTGTGAAGGAAAATGTTTTCTTCAAACTATATATATTTATTTTTTTTACTATTTTAATCATTAAAAAGTTAACTCATATATTTATTAAAAACATAAAAAGATTAAAAAGCAAAATAGTGAATATAAAAAGTTCGTGAAATTTTATTCGATGTTAAACTAATAATACCTATTATAAATCCTGATATTTATATAGTTCACACATGTTTCTTTCGATGGTTTCATATTTTTTTATTGTTTTCTGATGTTTGTGTATAAAATGACCTAATAATAAGAAAAAAAAGGATAAAACTATTATTTTGTAAAGTGGGACTATATTTTTATTTACACTCAACACTTTTTTTATTTTATTTAACATTTTATGAGTATATTTTTATTTGTTTTTTATAATCTTATACAACAATAATTATTTTTAACTGGAGTTATATTTAGCATTTCTGACCGCTAAAAACATTTCTCGCAGTTTGCTATTTTTCTAAAAGAGCCAACGTCACTAAAAGTTTATTTAGAGTTTTTAGCAATCTCTGAAATAGTGCAACTTACAAATAATTAAATCTATGGTATTGGCTTGTGTTTGAAATTCTCATATTGTCTAGAGTTTGAAACCTCTTTATGTCAAAATAAACTTTAAATATTTTTTATTAATTAAGGTTTTCTATTTCATTTGTTTCGTATTTCTTAATAATACATAAGTATTGAAATAAAAAAAATGGTTAAATATATTTTTAATTCCTTAATTCTTAGTGAAAATTAGAAATAGTCTTTATTCAAAATTTTGATCCAATTTAGTCTTCCAAATTTATAAATGTGTGAATTTAGTCATTTAAACTAAATTTTGTTAGTTTATTTGATATTTCAAACCTATTTTATGATAGCATCTGAAGTGTTAACACTAATACAAAAATATATTAAATCGTATAAATAACTCAAATGTTATCATGAAATGTATTTAAAATTCACACGATTTTAAAAATAAAAATTAAATTAGTTCAAAATTTCAAAAATAAACTAATTCTAATTTTTACTAAAAAATAATAGACTAAAAATTTATTTAATCTAAAGAAAATTATAAAGGCAAGCAAAAATTTATAAATGTGGACTCTTTTTATATATTTTTTAGTAACTTTCATTTGATTTCTACAAATGTACGAAGGATTGTACAGACAAGAAAGTCCGCAGCACAAGGTGGAAACAAACCAAAGGTTAAAAACCCCTTTATGCGTATAAATTAGTATAGGTTTATAACCTTAGTTAAAATTAAACTCTCTTGTGGTCATGCTTTGTTATTTTGTATCCTCTTTTGTGACAAAAAATGATTGATTAGATTTATTTGGTTTAAAGTTGTCTTTTTAATATTCTTAATATTTTTAACAACATTATTCTATTTTTTTATTATTTTCCTTTTCTATCAATTTTTATTCCTTTATAAAACATTTAATTAAAATAAATACATATATGTATACAGAGAGAAGAGAAGTATTAAATATATATATTTTTTAATTAAATTAACTTATGTATAAACTGAATAACTTCTCAAAATTACTATGTTTAATTTGATGATTGATCAGCTTGTGTGAGGAATATTACATGGAATAAAAATATTACTAAAACTTATAGAAATTACAAATTTTATTTATGTTGACATTTTTATGATAATAAAAAACTTATAAAATTAATTTAATTTTTATCAGTTATTATAATTATAAATAAAGTACTTTTAATTTTTATCAGGACCACTTTTATATATTTATTATAGATTATGAAAACTAAAAGTAATTAACAAAGATAAAGATAGACAAACATAAAAAGAAGTTACAAAAATTAATTTTTATGATTAATTGTGATAAATAGTCTTTATAAAAAATAGTATAATTAGAGGGGAAAAAAGTATTTTTTTTAATACAATTAGGAAAGTTTTCCTTTTTCCTTAATTTCTGATGCATTTATGCCATTTGGCCCATTCACTTCTATCAATGTTTTCTGTTTTGCACTGTTATTAATATTTTCGTTTATTTTATTACTTTAAAATATTAAATACTCATTATAGTGCGAACATGATTTTGACGTCTTTGATTACTTTTACATGAGAAAAAAAAAAAACTCTATAGACTTGAAGGGAAGATTGAGGATTTTTCACTATAGTTAATTTTAAATAAAAATTACTCAAATAAACAAATTTAAATATTTTTCTTATATGGATAAAGATAAGATTTTACTGTAAAAAAATGGAATATGTATGACATAATTTTAAATTTTTCCGTGTTTATTTTGTATAATTTTTTAATGTGAGAAAAAATTGTGTGGGTTAAATACTATTTTGATTATGTTTAATTATTAGTTTTTAATTTAAACTGAAATATTTTAGGAATGTTAACATTTTAATGTGATCTGTTTGGATTAAAATCATGCAGGAATTGTGAAATTAATTTAGTTTGATTTAAGCTTAAGTCGTTTGTATGATTTCAAAATTTAATTTGTGTATTACACTGAAGCCGTATAAAACTTCAGTTTAAATTATGAAAAAAAATACTTTTAACATGATTTCATTTAAAAAAGTTTGAAATTATATCATTTCATCCAACACTTCCTAAAAAAATCATTCAGGCAATCACAACTTATTCATAAAATATTTAAAATTTACCAACTTTTATACTTTTTGTTTAAAATTGCACCTCTATTAAAATAAACCTAAAATATAACTTTATAAAAAAAATATTTTTAGATCATAAACTATTATTTATAAAAATATTTCATTACCAAATAAAAATTATAATAAAATAAAATATTTATGTTGCTTCAACTAAATTCATATACTTTTATTTGTTTAGTAAATAATAAATAATTAATAAATTATTTCTCATTTATTTTTCTTAACTTCTTTCTCCCTATTTTCCTTTAAATTTGATCTGTGTAAAGACAGTGTTTAGTCATGGAGTTTGTATGTAAATTTTAAATATCTATAAACTATTTAATTTAAAAATAGTAATTAAAGAATTAAAATTAAGAAATATAAAAAATGTATATAATTTAGATATATAATATTGTGTAAATAATTTTTTATTATGAGTGATTATTTAAATTCGAAAAAATTAATTGATAAAAAAGTATGTAATTATTTATAATGAGTAATTATTTGAATTAAAAAATAATTACTAAATGATAAAATTGAAAAGTAATATTTTTATTATAAATTATTATTTAAATTTAAAAAACTATTAAAAAGATAAGATTAAAAAAACTCCAAAATGATATATTATCTTTATAAATATAATTATAGATGAAAATTCTTTTCTAACTATAATTAACTTCGAATCCATAATATATATTTTATTTTATTTTAGGTGATGGAATAAAAGTTATAGGCCAAAAAACACTGGGAGGTTAATTTATGAGTAGCTTTACATTGTGCATAATGTGGACAAAATATCATGTCGTGATGGATTGGGTAACTTTAATTTGTCTTAAATCCCATCAAGGTCTGCAAAGGAAATAATGAATAATTTGT